CATCTATCATTCTCTCACAAGCGTCCTTCTAAGGCTGAACACGCGTTCAAATTCTGAAGGGTCTAAAGCTTTGATTGGATGCATTGAGACGCGTGTTATTGGTAACTGTTTCATATCTCCACGTAATCTCCCTATTTTCAAGATTCATAAATGTTGTGTAATCATTAATATTTTTCTCTTTCTTACTGATTAAGTTTTCAACTTGCTTATAAATGCACAATTCACTTTTAATCTCTTTCTGGGGTATTCATGTTTCTTGTCTTGTTTGCTTTTGAACATGTTATTGCAATCAATTTTAATATAACTCATCTTTTGAATCTGAATATTAATGTTTATATTGCTTTTTTATTCCCGACAAAAAGGGGGAGAACATAAGATATTTATAATAACAGTATATCGAGACACAGTCTTAAACATTCTGAATATCATAACTTCTCGTTTCTTTTTCTGAAAGCAAAACAGGTACAAAACTCTGATGAAGACAGAAGTAGATGCATCAAAAGCTCTGATCAGAATAAACTTCAGGGAAGTAACTCGTCTCTATCTGAGTACTCAACTCAGGGGGAGACTCTATAATGCTTTATGTTCTGCTTATTTTGATTGAAATATCCTAGTTTTTGTTATCATCAAAAAGGAGGAGATTGTTATAACATAGTTTGGTTCTACAATCCTGTAAGAGTTTTGATGATAACAAACACAAAGAACAATTATGCACTCTAAAATTATATTTTGTTTTATAGAGAAGTTCTAATGGAACAAGATCAGAAGTTAAGCTACATGTTTGTTCGTGTTGTGAAAGTAGACAATTCTCAATAAAACTGATGAAAGAAGATCAGAAGTTGCGCTAAAAGATAGATGTTTTAGTTCTGGCTACACAACTCTGAGAAAGTAAGTATAACGCTGCAAATAGGATCTTATGGCTCTGACCTCCAAAAGTTCTGAAGCAAGCAACAACGGTTACTTCAATACTCTGAAGCGTTACAAATCAAATATTTCCATTTCAAGAAGTAACGGCTGGAAAGGAACAAAGATCTTTATTTTTGGAAAGCAAATTAACTATCATTAATCAGTTTCCAAATGATCATCCATGATGCGCCTATTTAAACAAGACGTGAGGACTAATCATTTACGATTTCACAACACTCAACAACGCTGCAATCTTGTCTAATCCTCATATTTACAATTCTCTCAATTGTGTAAAACATCACATACTATGATACTGTTTTGTAAGAAAACATTACTGTACACCTTCTTATAATTATATTATTTAGTGTAATTCCTTGAGAAAAAACCGGGTTATGGTTATACTCAAGAAGACTTTGGAAGTTGTCAAAGTAAACTTGTAATCAAGATTTATTAATGGATTAAGACTTCGTTGGAAAGAGGAAAAATCACCTTGACGGATGGACTAGAGTAGTTTGAGTTCAAACGAACCAGGATAAAAATTAACGTGTTATTTACATTAATTTTTAAGATTCCAATTCAACCTCCCCCCCTTCTAGTGTTTTTCAATTCTTCACTAAGTCGAAAGACAAGGTTCTAATTCTGAAGACTTTGATCTTTTTGGGAACATTACAATGAAACACCTTCTGGATTATTTATTATTTCTTATCAGAAATACTCCATCAGAAGATTAAGAACAAATATGTGATCTCTTATGCACTCTCTTCACTACTTCAAATCATAAGTATCTCATTATAAGAAAAGATCATAAACTTGCACAAGAAGAATACGATACAATAATACAAGACCTATTCTTCAATGGTGAAGACTACGTTGTACGACCAAAAGAATTTGTCTCCCACAATTTGATGCTACCATTGTAGCAGTTGGCAAATGAAAGTGATATTTTGTACTATCCAACGGTCTACTTTCTCAGCCTATATAAATGAATGACTACTTCATTGAAGATAAATAATCAGTATCAATAAATTGAAAAGAAAAGTTGTTGTTCAAAGAAAACAAAGAGAGAAAATATTCAATTAAAATTCAAAACACGGAGAGTTGTTGCTCATATTTGTGTTAACTTCTACTCTGCATAACACAATATTTGTTGCTCGTTATTATGTTATTATCATTATTTTATATATAAGAGTTGTTCCTCATATTTTTGTGTAAACATGTGTTCTTTATTGTAGTGTTAAATCTGCTTTTTAGAAGCACTATTGTAAACACTGTTTGATTGTAAATATTTCAAGATTTGTTTTCCTCAAGTGACTAAGTTGTAGTCTGTATACTTGAGAAGGCTAAGGTGTTTTTCTAAACTCTTAGATGTTGTTTGTAATCTTTCAATATTAGTGGATTAAGTCATTTTCTAAGGCGAAATCACCTTGGCGGATGGACAAGAGTAGCCTTTTCTAAGGTGAACTTGTATAAATGGATTGTGTCCTTTTTAATTTCTAGCTTGTCTATCATTGATTGTTTGTGAGAAACATTTCTAAAGATTTTTTTTTTGAAAACTCAATTTAAACCCCCAATTTCTTGTGTTTTTCTCAACCTTCATTAATGACTTGAAACGACTCTATATCCAAACTTTCCTAATTGGGCTTCATAATCAATTATATTTTAGTTGTGTAATTGATTAAAGCATTTTTCTAATCAATTAAATAATAACTTCAGCCCATGAATTATTTCCTTTCTTGGTGTTTCCAACTACTATATAAGGGAGGGTCTTCCTCACTTAAAACCACGTCACTTTCTAACTTTTTCATATTTATTTGGAATTTATCTCTTTCCCTCTCTTTTGGAAATATTTTCTTTCACTTCAAATTGCCTTAGTACTAGTAAGTGAAGCTTTACTTACGAGGAACATATTTTTGTAAGTGGTTGTGATGATCATTTATATTCTTAAGGGTGTGATACCTTTAAGAGATTGAGTTTGATTCTTGAGACCAACCTTTATAAAATCTCTTTTCTTGGTTTATTAAGCTTTGAAGAAAAAAAGCTTTGTTTTGGTTATTGAGATCAATCATATATCTTTAAATGATTTGTTAGCTTATTCTGGGGTAGAAATGATTCATAGAAAGATCAAACAATACTTCTTAACACCTTGGATTTGTGTGATTATTATATTTTGACTTGGAGAGGTTCAGAAACCCTTGGGTAGAAAACCCTTTTGCGTGATTACTATATTTTGAGTTGGAGAGATCGGGAAAGATTTGGATTGAAAATATAATTTGTTCTTGAGAACTTTGAAAGTCATTTTCTTGTAACTCATTTGTAATTTCTTGTAACAATTTTCTGAGTATAGTAAATTGGAAAGTTGTTATCTTCCTCAGATGTAGATCATTTGATTGAACTGAGTAAACAAACCTTTTGTGTTTCTCGCATTCTTATATCTTCTTCTGCAAAGTTAAGTTACTGTCTTATTAGTTACTATTGTTGAAGGTCATTTATTTTGGTTATAATTGTTCTTTGTCCCCACACGTCAAATATCTTGATGTGAATTGAACATTAGGTTTTCACAACAAAACAAAACAAACAATTGTTAGAATTATGTGTTTGAATTTTACAGATTTAATTTGCTACATATTAGTTATAAATTATCTATTATTTATGGGTTCAAGTATGTTGTTGATCTTAGTCACGTGACATGCTACAACATTTTTGCCACATTAGCATTGCTACATGAATGTCATGTCATTAAAAAACTTTCACGTGATGTGTCACATTGGCTTATCTTATAGGAAGTTGACATGAAGAATCAAAAGTGTGGATTGAAAATATTATGAATTAATGAAAAGATTTAGTGAATAAAGTTGAATTATGGTTTGTTTATGTAGACCAAAACATATTTAACTCTTTATTAAATATGATTGAATCATGTCAACAAGATACATAAATCTAACATTTTTTTATAGAAATCAGGTATCCTCTACGCGCAATTGCAGAAATTAATTCTTCAAGCTAGGTAGGATCACAATAGATGAAAAAAATCTCCCTAAATTAGAAGAGATATATTATCATCTCATTCAAGTGCTCTTGAATATATCTAACACTTTCAAGAACACTATTGTTATATTTTTAAATATAACATTTCTATCAATTTTAGAATATGAATATTTTATTTATTTAAAAATAAATAAACATGTTGTAATTTAAAAAAAAATATATTATAAATTTTACGAAATCTAAATTGCAAAATCTAGATTGTATAGACTATATTCAAAAGTTTTAAAGTGGATACAATCATAAAACATTTAAAATAACATTTACTCTTAATAGTGATTTTAAATTTAATTGTTAAATTTATTTTTATTTTAGTTTTTTCAATAGTTTATTTAAAATAAAAAAGTTATGAAAATTCTTTAAGCCATCATTAAACCATAATTCATTTATATGAATTTAATTCTTTTATTATCTTAAAAGAAGAGAAATTCATTTGTTTATATCTACTTAATATAAATGTAAAGAAGTCACGATGACAATCCTAGTCAAACCTTAATTTATATGTCAATCTCACAAAAATTTAAGTTTATGTGTCAATCTCACAAAAATCTAAATTTAATTCAAATATTAAAAAATTTGATATAATTATAATATTTTAAAATTGATACATAATTTATGAGTTATGATAATAATACTCTTCATATTTATATTCCTACTCCAAATTCAATAATAAATTAAAAAATAAAACTCATAAAATTCTTCATATTTTTTATTTTAATTAAATAAATAAATAAATAATTTATTTTAATAATCACTAACATTATAACTAATACACTACGATGATGATAATATATAAAAAGAAAAAAAAAATGAATTTTTTTTTAACCAAATAAAATTGATATATTAAAAAAAACGGATATATACAATGCGATCGCTCACGATCCAACCCCAAATAACAAGAAAGACCAAACACAAAAAACTCAGAAGAAAAACTTAAAGCATGAGAGCAACTAAGTGTTTGCTAAGTTTTTGTTTGACCAAATCCTATAAGTCACCATATCAATAATCAACTCCTCAATGCTTTTGCTATTTACTATGTCGCTAAACACCTTCTAATTCCTATGCTTCCAAACATGATACATTGTTTCTGTCACTGCACATTTAAGAAAAGCATATTTCCACCTTTTGCCATTGCACGTCTGCATCATCCAAGGCAATTCCTCATGCCACTCCTTAGGATCATGAACAACCTGAAGCCACATCAAAACTTTCAACCAAACATCTTTCAAAGTATGACAGCCAAAAAAGAGATGGTTATGAGTTTCCCTCTGATGGCAAAAGATACAGTTCTCATCGTTTATCAAACCAAATCTCCTCAATCTATCCTTGGTGGCCAATCTACCATTGCAAGCTAACCAAAGCACAAATGCACGAGGGCGGGCCATGTCCAGCTCACTTTGTTATCATTCCCCAACATACCTAAATAGACTTTTTTCATCATGAAATTCCCCTATATCAGGTTATGGCACTGCTGGTACTTATCTCTAAGACTCAATCTTTTTGAAAATCCAAGAATAACTCTCTTTGCTGGGCATACTCGTGATATTGTCATTTTTTATGTAGTATATGTGGATCCATTTGATTCAAAGATTGTCGGACTTATTACAAATATTCCAGAAAAGCTTAAGGAAGTTTACCTGATTCCATATAGCAATGTCAATAATGTTCTGACCACCCAAAGGTTTAGGCTTACAAACCTTTTTCCAAGCAATAGGCACTTTTCTAGAGATTTCTTTTCCACCAGTCCAAAGAAAACTCCTACACATATCCTCAATTTTCTTCAGCATAGCCTTGGGCAAAGGAAGGCACTGCATCCAGAAATTTGTGGTTGCAAAAATTACACTTTGTATCAACTGAATCCTCCCAGCATAAGACAACAGGCTGGCACTCCAATGAGTAACTCTCCCAACAGTTTTATCAATCAAAACAAGATAGTGCTTAATGGCCAGTTTTTTGCTAGTCAAGGGGATACCAAGGTATCTAAAAGGTAAGCTACCCTCCTTATACCCAGTGAGCTGAAAAATATCATCCTTACTATTGTTGTCCACACCACTGAAATAAGTCTGGTATTTGCTAGGATTAACCTTAAGACCCGTCGAGCGAAGGAACTTCTGGAAATGATCAGTCGTATGGGCTATGGACACCACATCTCCTCTGGCAAATAAGTCTGGTATTTGCTAGGATTAACCTTAAGACCCGTCGAGCGAAGGAACTTCTGGAAATGATCAGTCGTATGGGCTATGGACACCACATCTCCTCTGGCAAATAATAAAAGATCGTCTGCAAAACAAAGATTTGTGATTTTCAACTTTTCACACTTTGTGAGATCATTGAAATCAGGGATCTTTTCCAGCTGCTTTAAAATTCTATTTAAATACTCCATGACAAGCACAAAAAGCAAAGGGGAAATAGGATCCCCATGCCTAATCCCTCTTCTAGCATTCAGCAACTTGGTATAACACCCATTCACATTGAATCTGTAGGAAACACTTGTCACTGTGATCATGATCCAGAGAATAAATCTGTCGGGAAAACCAAATTCTTTCAAAATGTGCTCCAAGGCATTCCAGTTAATCATATCGTAAGCTTTTTGAATATCAACTTGCATCATACACTTCGGGGTACTATGCTTTCTCCCATAACCTTTCATCAACTCAAAAGCTAAGAGAACATGGTCATGGAGATCCTTACCAGGAATGAAAGCTGACTGATTTATGTCCACAATACAACTAATAACTTCCCTCAGCCTATTTGTTAGAAGCTTAGAGATAAGCTTATATACAGTGATGGAACAAGAGATGGGACGATAATCTTTAGCCATTTTAGCCTCAGCAGTCTTACGGATAAGAGAAACCACAGCACAATTAAAACCTTTATGAAGTCTGTTATGGGAGAAGAAATCTTTAATAGCTTCACACACGTCCTTTCCCACTATACTCCAAGTATCCTTAAAAAAAGCCAGAACCATAACCATCAATGCCAGGAGATTTGTTTTCATCCATATCCTTGAGAGCTTTAGAAATCACAATAGTGCCATCCTCTTTCTGCAAAAAAAGAGATAGTATTAGTCTTCTGTCTGCCTTTAATAGAAGCATGAAAATATTTATTATTTCCATCTCCGTACTTAAGCCAATCAAGTTTATCTTTTTGTATCAAATCTTTTCCTTCCATATCGTTTCAGTACAGTAGCTGATTAGTCCAGTTTTTCACATTTTCAATCTTATCTTTACTCATTCTATTTCTACTGAGCATATCCTGAGCAATAAGCAGCTCTTTTCTAGCATTTTCAACTTTTATCTTCATACCATGGAGAGGGATGCTAAGACCCTTCAGCACTGGCTTTAACCTCCTAAGCTTCATCCACAGAACATACATGGGATTACCATGTAAATGCTTGTTCCAGTTTACCCTAATAGCTGCATGAAAACCATTCACTTTAGAAAGACAATTCCTGTACTTGAAATGGTGCCTAGAAATATTCTCATGCTCTTTTCCTTTCAGACAGAGCATCCGATGATCCGAGACACTAAGGGGGGAGCACAGTTAAGGTAGCATCAACGTTAGACAGTGTTTTAATTGAATTAAATATTTAAATAATTTTAATAAATAATATAAATATTTAATTCAGACGGAGTATTTATACTAAACATGTGTTTTTTCAATTGTATCTGGACTACATATAGTCCAAATACTAATATATTATACTTTCTTTGAGGCTATTAAAACACAGAAGTATTCCTGTACTATATTAAAACAAGAAATTCTAAAATTACATCTCATAATCTCATAATTGAGGCTCTTAAGTAAAATTCTTCATTACAATTTCAAATACAGTTAACCTCAAAAATACAATACACCTAAAAAAAATGATCAATTCCAAAGATTGAAGTGCTGCATAATAATCCAACGCAAAACCAATTTAGCGACTAACTTTTTTCTTAACAACATAAAAATATGATTAATCAATTAATTATCTGGAGCAAAATGATCAAAAGCTAATATACGAATCAAACCATCGAAGCTAACGCCGCCGTTAACATCACCACCGCCAAGTCTAATCATAGCGTTAATATCTTCATCGCTTGCCTCAAACCCAGCCAAAGCCATATAGTTCTTCAAATCTTGATAACCAACTTTACCGTCACCGTCTCTGTCCATCACCTTGAACACATCTTCCATGGCTCCACACCCTAACGGTCTCTTTTCATCGCTACCGCTAACAACCTTCTCGAATTCCTCGTACTCCACGAACCCGCTCATGTTCGTGTCCGCCACCGACATCATCACGCCGATTGCGTCATCGCCGCCGCTAACTCCGACGCCGCTGTTGGTGGCGTAGAATGAACGGAGATCCTCGCGGCTTATTTTACCATCGCAATCGGTGTCGAGAACGTCGAATGCCGGGCGGAAATCGGATGTTGGAGATTGTAGACGGAGGTTACGGCCAGATGGACACATGGTGTTTTTTTGTGCGTGTGTTTGGTTTTTGTTTGTGTTTGTGTGAGTTTGGTGGTTATGTTTTGAACGGTGGTTGTGTTGAATATATAGGGTTGAGTGAGTTTGGGCTCCGGGAAATTGGGGGCCCACGCAGTATTTGTGATTCTCAGTCAGACAGAATCACGCGACTTGGGCAGCAAGGTTTTGGACTTTGTTGGTGGTTCTTACGTATGTCGTGACATCATTGCTCTTGTTTCTTTAGGAGGATGTGATTCGATTCTACCGTCGACAGCACTTCTCGTGGTTGTGTAAATTGCTATGCAATGTTCACATTTGACTAAATGAGAAAAATTGTTATGAAGTGGTGACCACCACTCACGAGTTATTGGGAGTTTAGGAGTTCAAAAAGAAAATGATTTGTAAGTTTGATTGGGGAATTTTTTTTTCTTTTAATAACTGCTTTTATTAAAAAAAAAAAGGTTCATTCTACTCTATGTGGAAAATCATTTCTTCAAATATTCTTATTTTTAAATTGGAAAAAGTAAAATATTAGATAAAGTTAATATTTTAGACTATTAGGATATTCTTTTATGTTTATTGGACTTTTCAGTTTTCTGTATTATGGTCCATTAGATTATCATAGTCCATTAGGTTGTACTTATATACCTAAGTCTTTTCGGCATAATGGTTGAGTTGTATTTTTTTTTTCTGAATTCTTTGAGTGATGGCTTATCATCTTCATTCATACAGCTGAATCATAATTGTAATATGGTATCAGTAGACTAGAATCTCTCATCTTTCTTATCTTTTTCGTTTTTTTCTCAAACCTCTGATTTTTTTCTTTCTCCTTCTATGGCTATTGATGTTGAAACCAACAATCCTAACACACCATAGAAACCCTCACAACCACCCAAGAATGACCCAATTGATCATGTCTTGAATCCTAGAAACCCTTACTATTACCAAGGAAGATTATCATCATCTCATGCTTCTGCTACAACAATCTCGCAAGGATCAAACACAGACTAAGACTGAAAAATCCTCTAATTATGACATGTGTGTAATCTCAAGTATGTTCAACATAGATAATTCTTTCCATAAACATTATATTTGGATATTGGATTCAGGGGCACCACGTCATGTTTGCCCTCATATAACATGTTTTTCTTATATCTCTAAGATCACGTCTGTGAAAATTTTTCTCCCTAATGGTAATTGCTTTATTGCTCACTATTCTGGCACAATCATCCTTGAGCCGTCTATTTATTTACATAATGTCATACATACCAGAACTTAAGTTTAGCTTGATTTCTATTTCTAAACGTTGTCAAACCACCAAATATAGCTTATCATTCTCACACAATTCCTGCTTTATTTAGGATGTGTATACCAGACAAATGATTGGTCATGTGACTCAACATAACAATCTTTATCTCCTTAACACACAACTTGTGCACACTTTTAACTCCTTTAGTAATTGTAATTTTGTTACCACAAATAGTTCTTAACAAAACAATATTTTCTTATGGCATTATCGTCTAGGGAACCCCTCTAATGAAGTCTTACACACAATGTCACAATATTTCCCTGTTATTAAATATTGCAAAATTTATGCTTGTAATACTTGTCATTTATCAAAACAATGCTGACTTCCCTTTAACAAAAGTAAATATGTTTCTTTAAATTGCTTTGATTTAGTACACATGGACATATAGGGTCCTATCTCCATTGCTTCTATGGATGATTTTCAATATTTCTTAACTATTGTGGATGACTTCTCTAAATACACTTGGACTTTTCTTATGGCTAATAAATTTGACACTAGATTACACATTAAGAATTTCATCACTTATTGTCAAACTCAATTTTCTTGCAAAATCAAAATTACTAGAAGTGACAATGGTGTAGAATTTCTCATGTCTTCCTACTATGATTCTTTAGGTATTGTTCACCAAAGGAGTTGTGTTAAGACACCTCAACAAAACTCTATTGTAGAAAGAAAGCATAAACACTTACTCAATGTTACTAGGTCTCTTTTATTCTATGATAATTTGCCTAAAAGTTTTTTGTCCTTCTCATTATACCATGCTACTTTTTAAATCAATAAACATTGTAGTCCTACTATAGACAATAACACACACGATGTTCAAATATTACCAACTACTCCCCATACTATAATAACAGACCAACTTACTGTCAGCTCTCCCAATCATAATAATAATCCTCCCTCCCCTGATATAACTCATACAAGACAATCTACAAGACTCAAAACTGCCCTTGCTTACCATAATAATAATTGTGTGTTAGCTATTTGCAGGGAGCTAAGAGGATTCTTCATTATATCAAAGGTACACTAACTGATGGGATTTTTTATGCTAGTGATAAAGAAATAGAGCTTGTTGGATACATGAATAGTGATTGGGCTGGAGATATAGAAACTAGAAAAGCATGTCAGAGTATGCATTTTATTTAGGCACATGTTCAATTTCATGGTCTCAAAGAAACAACCAGTCGTTGTGCTTTCTACCTCTGAAGTAGAATATATTGTAGCAACCAGTTATGCTACTCAAATAGTGTGGTTGAGAAGTATTTTAAAAGTGATACACTAAAATAAAAATAGTCCAACAAATATATTTTATGACAACAAGTCAACTATTGCACTAAGTAAGAATTCAGTTTTTCATGGACGATCCAAGCATATTGATATTCAATTTTACAAGATAAGAGAGTTGATATCTGAAAAAAGAAGTGGTGATCGAGTACTATCCAATTGAAGAATAAATTGCATATATATTTACAAAGCCTCTGAAGATTAAACTATATTACAAATTAAAGAAAAGGCTTGGAACGATACAAGTTTGATTTAAAAGAGACAATGTTGACTAAATTAAATTAAGTCTAGAAGATTATGGTGATATTATTCGTGATTAAGAAACGCTTCCATTATGACCATTAAAATGTTGAGTAGGTGTCTTAGGCATTTTTCTTAATAGATAGGATACAATCATATACTTAGCTACTATGAAATAAGCTAGTACCACTTGCAGTGCCATGTTTCTTGCACTGCAATATATCCACAACCAATATCAAAATTACATAGCTTATTTTTATTATTATTTTTTAATGTGAAAGATTAATTTTGTTATCTTTAGTAAATGATTATATAGAAATAACAAGCAAATAAGCAACAAGTTGCGTCGCTACCTCTTTTTAGAGGGAAAAACTAATTCTCTTAAAAACAACATTTTATCATACCCCAAATTTGTCTGTATTAGTGTTAGAAGTCAATTCATTTTATTTTAGGCATCGTTCATATTAATCTTTGCATTGTTACACTTGTTTAAAATTATATTCACATGCATGCTAATTTATTGTTTATTTTTGTTTAAATATAATAAAGTGTAATTTTGGGGAAGGGGTTTTATTTCAAATGGGGTTCATTATCTTAATTTAAATCTAATAGCCCATTAAAAAAATTTAGAGGTCTGTGTCAAAATTAAAATTAGTTGGTTTTAATTTTATAATTATTTTTATTCAGTTGACCAAGGTCAATATTAAATTTAAATTATTCTTATTATTCAGTTTTATTATTGTATATATAACATTTGTTGAGGTCAACATATTTTGATGCGTTATATTTATGTCACAATTTATTTTTATTAAATTATTATTTATTTTGTTTTATTATTATTATTAAAATAATTTAAATAGAACTGCGCCCAAGTACCATGTCCTCTACCTTAAGAAACACAAAAGCCCAGTTCCAGAAATCTATTTTTGAATCAAATCTTGGATTGAAATTTTTTATTGATATTGAAATGAATACAGGTACAAGAATCGTCTAGATAGATACACAACATAAAACCCTAATTCTATTCTAAAACTAAATCTGACTAAAATTACAAATCAAATCTTTTTTTAAATCAATCAGCTCCTAAATTGATTTGTAACGACTAATCAACATAACTAATTCCCTAATTTATACTAACCCTAAGCTTATAAATACCTAAGTTTAAAACTAAAGAAAGGACGAAGAAGTGAGAATTGGAGATTGAAGATTAGAGTCATATTCATTAATGCATCGATCATCATCACCTTGTACCTAAAAGCAGAGAAAGAAAAAGGATTAGAGTTGGAGAATTCAAAAGAGGAAATAAAAATTATACGAAAAGGGTTACAAAAGGGACAATAAGCCTCAAACTTAGCTTAAGTTCTTATGGTTGTTGTTGTTGTTTGAATGATTGGGGTTTAAATTAGCGAATTCTAGAAATTTTGGGGGCTTAGGGTTTATGGTTAGGTTTAGGGTTCATACACGATAGGGTTAGGGTTCTTCAATATTCAAGTTTTTGGGTTAGGGTTCTTATTTTTGCAGGTTAGAGTTCTTAAATTGTTAGGGTTCCTAGGGCCTTATGTATTTCTGGAAATACGATGAGGTTCCCGGCGAACCTTCATCATCAACGACAGCCTCAACAGCCGCCTACGGTTGTCAGAACCTAGGGTTTTATGATGTTTCAGGGTGGGGATGAGGTTTTTGGTTGAAGTTCAACCGGATAATTGGGTTTGCATGGTGGCTCATGGCGGTTTGGGGTGGTCATCACGACGACGATGATTTCCTTTGAGAGGAAATCTTAGAGAGAAATGAGATCTTCTCTCTTTAAGGTGTTGTATAACGGTTAGAGAGTGAGGGAGAAGAAGATAAAAATGGACAAAAATGGGAAAAAGTGAATATATAATCTCTTTGTCGCTCTACACACGCATCATACCATACTCCCTCAGTCAACATTTAATATCCACCCTCAGTTTGTTATACTTCAGATCAACGCCCCAGAGTTAACCTCTGATGGCCCTTTGATCTGAATCAAATGCCCTGATCACTGAGGTACATTGTAACCTCATAGAACATGTCTCATAGAGTCCGTATGGACTTCAAACATTGTTTAGGTCAAGCCCAATGCTTTATGCACCCTCCAACTTACTACCCCAACTATAACTTACACCCCCTTACGCTACTGGGCTTAAAT